AATGGGATGCTACTAAGCTTATTTATTATAAAATTTTGTGAAATTTCGACCGAAATTCTTTTTGTTAATCATAGTTGCGAATAAGTTATCTACTGTTATTCTATTAGTACGCAATCGTCATAGTGGAGTTTAAATAATTGGCATTGTTTTGACGTAACAATGTCATTAAATAGTATCATTATAAAAATAAAAGCATCAAAATTTTTGATTTTCGACCTTTTTTTCAGTTGTACATTTTTTTGCACTTTTGTGAAAGCTTCTACATGTGTTAGTTTATATCATGTATGTTAACTTTGTCTGAAAATTGAAAAGCATAAATAAATATGAATTCCTATTCTGTACATATCTATAATAATGAGACTATTCGACTACCATTTGGATGAGCAGTTGAACGGTATCTTTACTCACTTCCCATCTCTCATAGTATCCGATACAAAGTTCAAAGCAGAAAGAAAGTAAATGATACAGTAAAATGAGGGCTTATAACAGTTGAATGTGTAGAAGGTTCTATAGACTATCTTGGCTGGAAAACTGAAAAAGGCCAATATAAATCGACAAATCGTCTCAATAATGTTTTGCAGCTTACTGAAAATGGAAAACATCAAGTTCAACAAATATGTGCTAATGAAGGAAGTGATCTTCAAGTTTGGTGATGGGTCTGGTTTTGTTCCGGTGAAGGTGGTTGTTAGAGATCTTGTGATGGGATTGATAAATATGTAGAAACATGTAATCACTATGCAAATGAACATAACAGTAAGAATCCTCTTGATATGCACAAGTGCAGTGTATGAGTTATTACTGAGGTTATGCTTTCTAAAGTTGATACCGATTTTTCAGTGCATATGATTATTAAAGGAAACCATGTTCCACAAAATATTATCCAAGAAAAAACTGTGCCATCTCGAATTAATTTAAGTCGAGAAGTACAAGACCTTGCAATCACAAGTCGTCGAGCTGACAAATGAACGACAAAAGAAATTAAGATGAAGTTACTTGCATCACATAATGGTATATCACAAAATGAACTTGAACATCTATATCATCAACACTCTATATGTGATGAGTTAAAGCTTCGACAACTTATTGAAAGAGATAATTTACGCACATAAAGACAAGTAGGTCCATGGACGACAGTGCATGAGTTGGTAACTAATGTATTGAAGCAAAAAGGTGTTGTATTGTATTACCAACAACCAGACACAAATGCACC